GTCTGGAGAAATTATATTACAAGAAAGAGAGTTTTCCCTTCTGACAATGCTTCTCTGTAGAAGTGAGACTGGAAGGCAACAAAGAGACTAACAGAAAGGCTTTGTGTCCATTAGCAACACTCTTAGTGGAGAAATATGCAATTACTGTAGGTTCCCCAGAAAGATTTATCARCAAATTCAGTCCTGCAAATCCATGTACTCTGTGGAGAGACACTTTCAAAATGTTTCTTTCACAGCAACTTATTCACTTTAGCTGCAAAATCTCCTCAGAGCTTCTGGCACAAATGCTGTGTCTGAGTTCATATATTCATTCTCTTTCCACTGATAACTAAAGAGCAAAGGAGAGGCAGACAGCAGTCTTACGCAGTGCCCTAGGGATCAAGGAATCCCAAGTAAAAGCCTGTCAGGAACCATCAAGCACATTATCCCRGCCGAGATTTTCAGCCCAAAGGGCTGCTCCACAGCTAGGTCATTGACAGCCGATCACAAGGCTCAGTCTTGCATTGAGTGGGATAATTTTATCTTTTTCTCTCCAGGGCAGAAGACATATAGGAATCCTATTTGAAGAACACATGAAATTGTGGGGTTTCTTGCAATTGTTCAAAAGATAACATCAGCAAGAATATCAGTATTTTAGGTGATATCCTAGAAGTGTTAATATCATACAGATACTACTGCTTTGCCCAAAACACGATGAACTAACACTGCAAAAAAATCCAACAACCAATGCCTCTCCCCCAAATACTTGTACTGCAAAATTCTAATGAATGGCTCCATCTCCCAGAAAGGAAATCTGGCACAACTTGTCAAAGCCCTAAGGACCTTCTCACTACTGTTTTTGCTGTTTATACTGTAATTGTACAAAGCACAGAGTCGACATTGTACAATGCTAGGTGCTGTAAAGTACATGCAGTACAGTATCATTTCTGTCTTGAAGAGCTTATATTATCCTTGCRAACAAGACAAAACAAGTTACTGTGAAAAGAGGAAAGATGCAGAGCAGATGACAGCAAGATGATGATGGTGATAAGGMCTACATACACAGATGCAAAGAAAAAAGAAAATTGATGGCTCTAAGCTAGCTCTAAGAATCTCTCCTCTTTATAAGCAGATAATTCAGCTTATTTCCAGTTGCCAATTAAGGTTGTCTTCAGTGAGTGGCTTMGTTCTCATGGGCATCCCATCTGTCTTGTTCCTGGCCCTTCCCCCCTGCCCTCTTTCCCTAAGGGTATTAAGACTTTTTTAAAGAGGAGGACATTGTTTACTCTACAGATTTATTTCTGTAATGTTGTATAGCAATAAAGGACTGAACAAGCCAAAAGTTTGTCTGATACCAAAGCCTGTGTCTACWGCCAGAGAAAGCCAAGGGAGCGGTATCACATTTGTCCCTAAGGAAAGAGATGAACAAATTGTTCCAGCCAATCCAGAGAGCAAGAGAAAATGAGGTACTTTTATTGCTAGAAGCTGATACTTCTCACTATGATAACATCTTCCTTCCCAAGGATTCTAAACTATACAGCACTGGCAGTCCTGTTACTAGGAACAAAGCAAATGTTCCTTTCTGTGAAACAGGGCTCTACACAGTGCAGAGTTGGTATTTTGAATTGCCAGGCACACAACAGATCTAAAAGCAGTATCTGCCCCTCAATCCTGTCAAACACACATCACAGATGCCTTCTCTGATAAATACTGTTAAAATGTCACACAAGATCCAGCAGGGGCGTTCAAGCTAGAGCCAGCAGAAACATCCCCGACAGAAAAAGGGCATCTCAGACAATGGTTTGCAGAATCCAGTAAAACTAGTGCTACATCTAAAGCTAAAAGCAAGATGTTTTTCTCAACCATGCTCCAGCTGGCAGGTGGTCAGGAGACATTTCACCAGAAACTAAAGAAAAGAAGTGTTTTGGGACAAGAATATAGCCTCACAAAAAAAAAAAAAAGTCTATTCCCATAACTCCAATTCACTTGTGTTTCATTCATCAAACAAACAATAAAAGTTGCAGAGAAAACAGTTTCCTAACCAAGGTGCATTATGATTTCTGAGCTTTCCAAGGAGTCCTGAACAGAGCAGCACATTTACCTGCATGCTGGAAGAAAACATTTCGGGAAAAGGGTTAGCCTACAAGAAAAGTAAAATGTATTAGAAGGAAGTCTCTTTGACTTTTTTTTTCTTKCTTCTTTAAGCTGAAATGAAAAAAAAAAAGACACACAGACTGCCTTTAAGATCCCAGAAAATATAAAGTGGGATGCTATACACATTCTCTCTGCGTGATCAAATGCATTAGCATGGGGGCCCTGTTTTTCTTCAGTATAGGAAAGATCAAGAAAACAGGATGATAAATAATGTATAGGGGGAACATATTCCTTTAAGATATGTTGGCACAGACATTAGGCTGGAAAAAGTAAAGCAGCATTAGTGTGTAATTACACAGAGGGTTTTCAAGAGACTGCATTTCATGCAGATTCAAGAGCAGAGCTGAGATTTTTCAGGCTTGTAATGAACAAATACCAGTAGCATTTTAGAATATCTATATAATCAAGATTAGTCCTAAGAGAGGCATAATTTTACTTGTTTAACTAAAAGATGTGGGTTAATTGGCAGGAGGGTGATTGATCCCTATTCCTCTAAGGGTCAGGAGTGAGCCAGATGAGGGAAGCCTCAAGGTACTCCCAAGATTGAAAGCAGATGTCCATGTGATTGGGACAAATGAACACTGGAATAAAGCAAGAGAAAGAACTATCCTTGAAGACTAAAACTGTTCTGGAAGGAAAACTATAGAAATTAAGGTCAGTTCTCCGCAATCAGCAATCCCAGTGTGAGATGGTGGATAACAGTGTAATACATAGCCAATTCCATCTCTTTGAAACAACTGGAAACACTCATTGCCAGCAAAACACTTCCTGCTTGATACATACAGAGCTACATGACCACRTAATTTTCAGTTCTGAAATTTCACTCATGTATGCTAAGCTCCAACAAAATTTTCTTATTTACTCAAAAAAATAGTTGTTGCTCAAAAAATGGAATTGACTCATGGTAAAGAGGGGCATTGCAATGCGTGATGGAAATGCCGTCAGGTGGCTCTTCAGCAGTGAATCCAGTGGAGGGGTCCATGGAACACCACTATATTGAACAGCATGCCCTCTGAGAAGAGTTTGGAGAATATGTAACACCTGTCCTTGACAGACTAATTTCAATTTCTGAAAAGTTACAGAATTAATTATTTTACCCCACAAACACTTTTTTAAAAAGTTGCTTGTTTGGGCCTGCCTGCTAACTTTCTAAACCCTGGGCTTGGTCTCTAATTTTAAGTGAGCATAAATAGGGAAAGGGAAAAACTGGATGTCCTAGTACCAAGTCCCTCCATCTCAAATCACTGCAGCATACTTCAAAACATGCACATTCCAATCCTCTCCCTAAGAAAAACATGGATTAAGGAAAACACTGGGAGAGTGCCCATAAACCTTCTGGAATTTCAAAGTTATCTTTCAGTTTTGAAGATGCTGAGACTAAAGATCAAGTTTATTTGCTTGGGAGGGAAGTGTAGCCTTCAAAGCACAGCCTGAACCAATGTTGATAGTTGTGTGGATGAGCAGAAATCTTCCAGGCAGTGACAGCTCACCACCAAGCTCTGGGTGCCAGAACACATAACATTTTCATAGCATGAAACTTTGCATTCTACACCCATATTGGCTATCATTTATTCCCTACTTTAAATGAAGAATCCCACATTTGGAATCTTCATAGCTCTCAAAATTGCTAAGCCTGTTTGTGCTTGGATACAGGGATACAGTTTAATCTGCTAAACTCMAGATATATTATAAAAGACAAAATGAAAAAGAAAAAAAGAGAACTACTAGTTCTATATTACAGAATGAATGAACATGCAGCCTTTGCCTATCTTTCATGAAATCAGAAACTCCACAAAGCACTCACTGTAAACAAAAAATCACAGTAGAAGTCATATCCCTAAAAATGAATGGGAAAAACAAGATCTCTAGCACCTAAGTCAATYTGATGGTTTTGCTGTATGGTGATGGTTTTGTTCATTATAATGATCTTGAATCACTCTTTATTCTTTCAAAGAYAGAATAGGAACAGGAAGAGAAAAGAAAATGCTTATCATGTCAAGATGAAGAAAGACTACGAAGAAGCATTTCGAAGAGTTTCACTGCGTGAATGACCCCTTGCTTACCATTTAATTTCTGAAGTATACATGATCAGAAGTTTAGAAAAGGCACAGAAGTGTCATGTTTTAAATTAGATGCAAATGAAATCATTTGCAGAGATGCTGAATGACAATTTCAGCTGGATATTTGAAAGCCACCTTGCCTTCAACTCTGGTAAAGAAACCCTGTTCCTGGGTGGAGGTCATTGTAATCATGCTCTTTATCTTTCTTAAGCTCTTGTTTACCATCTATTTGTTCAGATGACTAATGTCAGTATTACTTTCTGTGGACAGAAAGCACACAGCTTTTCCCTCTAGAATGTTTTTGCAAATTATTAAGAAGAAATTGTGCTCATGTCCAGTATTTAAGGACTTATGCAGATTTTAAGGGAAGAAGAGGCATCCTATTAAAGCATTCAACAAGACAACAATCACACAAGGAGATAAACAGTTCAGATTCGTACTCAGAAAAAGGAAGAATGAATGCTGCTGAAACCAGAAGCAGTCTCTGAAGCAGTTTGCTTCATTATCTCTCAAGCAGTTTGATACTAACAGTACTAAGACAAGCAGAATTTGGTTTTTCCATGTTTTTAAAATCTCTGTTCCCCAGAGTGACTGCTTCACACAGATGTTTGTAACAGCAGAGGTACTGAATTGTAGGAAAACCATGTGCATTTCCAAAATATGCTCAGGCAGCCCTTGGCTAATCCAGTGAAATCCAGCATTCACAACATAACCAGCTCGTGTCCAGCTCCAATCTCCATGCACCCTTGTCTGTTTCCAAATGCCTCCCTCAGGCTGCCCCCATTGGCAGCATCCTGATGTACTTACTATTCAGTGAAGAACCTGGCAATGCCATACTGACTAATATCTTCTCTGTTCTCCAGCAGCTGGCTCACTGCATCCTCCATGTACGTGAGGACATGTCTTTGAGCTGCAAACAAAAGACAGTAAGAGACAGAAGTTAGAATATAAGGGGCCCACAAGGCAGACAAGCTCAGCTGTGTGCTTTACGTAAGACATCAAGCATTTGCTCCCTCAGTTATGGAGTAGAGGTTTTTTCTCCCTGATATGGAYAGCAAAATTTCTCACCTAAATCCTGCTTTCCTTACTGGCTATACAGAGTTAGTCATTAACAGTGTTGACTCTTTTTCAGAATCCCCTGAGATTTTGGTATTGAAGGAAAGCGATAAGGAAATGTGAGACAGGAAATATTTCACYGGAAAATGCTTACTCAAGAGGACTTTCTGATCTGTGTTCTGAGTCACAGCCATCTTTCCTACACACATGGTCAAGGCCGTTCTGATGGGGCTGTTGCAGAGCTTTAGGTGTTCCCTGCCCTACCCTCTATTCCAAAGTCAAATAGCTCTAAGGTTGTTCTGTAAATGTTTTTTTTCCTTCAGATGCAAATAAGAGTACATCTGTTTCCAAAGAAGCATCAGTGAATGTGGCAGGTGGGGAAGTCTCAATGACAAGAAATTTATATTGCTCAACAGGCCTAGGCCAAACATGGGAGAATTTCAGAAATGGTGGATATGCCAGTACCCCAACACAGAATGACACTCACTTATAAGACTTCTGAGTAAGGACAGTTTGGTGCAACACAAACCCTTTTGCTGCTTTTACAGGGGGCAGACTGTACAAAACAGGCATTTGCCAGAGAGGAAGCAGCACAGATTTACCACGGAGCCCCTTTGATGTTTTTGGCTAGAAACCAAGTTGCAGCAACAAAGAGCTGAGTCTGAGGTGATGTGCCAGCACCAGGCCGTAGACTTTCCATATCTACAAGTCCAACAATCAGAAGACAAGTTACAACGAACCCAGGAAAATCATTCCTAACCTGGAAAGCACACAAACCCTGTTCCCAAAGTACACACCTCCATCCTCAACACGTATCCTACTGCACCTTTGCAAGTAGTGTCGTGTCCTAAAAAGAGCAGGAGAAAAGCCTTAGGGAATATAGGAAAGGCAAGGGCTGTTCTTGCTCCTTGCCMATCTGCTCCAGACTTGACAGCATCATCCCCTCACCAGCAACTGGCCAACCTCAGACCCACATCAATATTCTTCAAACCATTTTAATTTGTGTTTAATATCCTGGTAAGCATCAAGCCTGCATCACTTGATACACAGCATGGARGGCCCTTTCATCTTAGTGTGGGGCAGGTGGACTTCAAGAGGGGCCCGGAAATCATTATTCCCAGTGGATACAGTGATTAAAAGTATGCATGAATATTGATTGCTATCAGGGGATTTCTCTGCCTAGAACACTTTTCAGGACAATGGTAAAATTGGTTAAGCACACCCTGGAAAATACCTTGCAGCTGATAGCAAAATGGTGAGCCAAAGGTTTAAAGATATTATCAGGCAGTAAAAGATACAGGGCGTAACTTTATTTAATTATTTTAATGCAAGGGAATAAATTTAATTTATGTGAGTGATTAAAGAAAAATAGCTCTGCGCACCTGTGTCCCCTGAGGGGAGAATGAGTCCGTGCAGCTCAGTCATAGGCTCAAGATAGCAACAACTGGGTTACTTTACTTCAGCCCAGCCTTCTTCCCTCCTCCTTAAGCAGTCCATCTTACACTCAGCAATCGTCTCCCCAGGCCCCTCTGGAGGTGTCAGCAGTAGCAGATTATGCCAGGAAATGGTACTAGCAGACAGCCTTCCACTCATCTTAGCCTGCAATAAACTTCTGCTCAACTGCAAAACCGTTCTCAAAACTTTGTGGGTGAGTCTACACTCCTTTCATAGAATAGTCACTATCAATGAACCCTATTTCTGTTATTTTGCATCTTTAGAGWCATAAACCTCCCCTAAAAGCCTTTGGGAATAGACAGGCATGGTCCTACAGTGCTACACAACACAATGAGGCTGACCTCTATAATAAATACCTTTGAATCTGCTAATCTGGAGAATAAATTAGCTTTCAACATAGAATTTTAGACATTTCTATGACATTTCAAAATGTACACAAAAATCTACAGGTTRCTATTGAGTACAGTTACTGGTAAAATTATATTTCTGTTAAACTTTTTGTTGCACAGCTGAAGGATCGTGGTAAACAGCCTCTCTCCCCATTTCCCAGAAGRGTGGGTAGAGATGTGAGGAAGGGAAGAAATCTGTGAGCAGAGAAGCTGAAAGAAAATAGCACTTTGTAATCTCTTTGAGAAGTCCCCCCCTCTTTGTCCCTTTGGCTGCTGTGCTCTTTTCCAGGTAGCACAGTTCACACTGCCAAACCAAATTCCAGCTCTGGCTTCCTGTTCACTGACTGCCTACTTCCATGGAACGAGGCAAGGAATATGTTTTATAACCCAACTAACACTACACTATACAGAAAAGTCATAGAACAAAATGTAATTTGCAGGCAGGTTTTAGCAGGCCAGAGAGGCAAATTTAAGTGCCAGGAGTCTGGTTATAGCAAAAGAGTAGTTCCTTAATTTATAAAAATGGTACTTTCCATAACAAACACTGGAACCATGCTGGAACATTAACTATTTATGCAAGCATAGTCAAAAATCTGTGGGGTTCTATGCAAAATAAATGAGATGATTTGTATGTTTTAATGGGTTTTGAAAATTCAGGGATAATGATGTACTGGTATAMACATTGTTCATATTTTTGAGGCCTACTTTGCAATTATAAGGCAGCAAGTCCAAATCAGAAAGTAAAGACCAAATGTGCTACTACAGCTTGCTGTCTCTACCACTTTTCTTCCTGACAAAACTCCAGTATATTGCACTTCCACACAGGAGATGTTACATCAGGACATCATCCTCAGCATTTGTTTGTTTTGGGCTTATTACAACAGAAGCTCCCTGCTCATACAGAACTTTTCTTTTTTACCCATATTCTGTAAACTCAACTCTGAAATCCCAGGCAACTACCCCAAACAAGAAACAAGAGTGCCAGCCACACTCATTTGGTAGGTGCCACACTCTGCTGTCTGATTTAAAAATTAACAGCCAGCTTTCACAAAGGAATCTGACAGAGTAAGTTCCAAGAGGATTTTTCAGGCAGCCCATAACGAGATATTAAGTGAATACCTTTGTGCAGAATATCTTAATTCCTATCACTAAACCACTAGCAGTGATGTTACACTTGGAGCCATAGACCAATCAGTAGCAACATGTACAGCTCCTCCAAAGCTGCCTCCTGCAGCACTTAAGAGAACAGCCTCTGATAGTATTACCACCACACCCACGTACTTACACCCCACCATCACTGCCCAGTGTTTAAAATTAATTTTGTAATTAATCCACTTTTGGCTCAGAACCACATTCAGGGCTGAGCAATGGCTGTTCAATTCAAACATGACTAGACCAAGTCATAAAAATCTTCAGCTTACAAGGCGTGATGAGGATTACAGTCCACAGTCTCTAAGGATTTCTCTACAACAGATTAGACAATCACAACTAATTCCATTTAGCCATAACCACACCTAATAATTTTGCATATGTATGTAGAATAGTAATAATAGTCTTTTTATAAGCCACCAAGTTACTTGTTTCAATCTGCTGATGAGAACAAACAATTCACTCCTTTGTAGGTTTGATTACAAATGTTGGAAGAACAAGCACTGATACTTGAAAAGTCTGGAAGGAAAATTTAATGCAAATAATGTGACTGCACAAAAGAGAATATATGCACTGAAATTTTCAGAGCCAGAAATTCAGGAGGAAGGAAAGAAATAAAGGACATCTTTAAGTCATGATATTGCATACAGGTAATGGTTTTATTATCCAAATAGAATGGAGAGGATTGAGATCTTTGAAGCACCACAGTACTGTTTGCATCTTGCAGGTGATTCTTTTTTCTGGACTTATTGGCAACTCAATCTCATTAGCCATGCTGGTCTTGAGTATTAGCTTCCCAGTTTTATTTCTTAGATACAACTGCCTAACGYTACAAGCTAGAAGCTATTACTAGCTTCTAGTAATAAGAAGCTTCTTTTTCCAATGACTGAGTTTTCCAAAGGCAGAGAAAAAAAAACCTGAAGATTAATATAYCAGCACACTTACCGAGAAGTGATGCTGCCTGTCATAATTGAAAGGAATAGCAAATATGTGATGACCAGAAGATGCAATAAAAATCAAAGCAGATGCTTCAAATTAAAAATAAAGTGYGCCAAACAACCTGAAGAAAGAGTATGATTGGAATAAATTGGTATCAGATAGTAAAAAAGGTATMATGTACATTGTTTGAAGAAGCAGCAGAACAGTGCCAAGTTTACTTACAGAGGTAAGTCTTTATTAAAAATATTATTATCAAATCATTTGGTTATATTATTGCTTAACTCTTCAGGAGACATCACTTCTTCTGAAACAAGAGCCGTCTATCAAGAGCTGTGTTCTGTATGTACACAGGAGAGCTTTTTTTTTTTCTTTTAAGGTTGGCCTAACTGAATATGCTGAAAAATCAGGAGTGGGAATTCCTGAATAACAAGACAGTTTTTCTTACTTATTTGCCTTTTTTTTTTTTTTTTTTTTAAGGTTGGCCTAACTGAATATGCTGAAAAATCAGGAGTGGGAATTCCTGAATAACAAGACAGTTTTTCTTACTTATTTGCCTCCTCCTCAACTGAAGTGCTGCAAATACAGACTACTTGATGCAATGAATGTTATGATTTGCTTCAGTTATCAGAAGGTCAAGAGCATAACAAGCTTTAATGTATTTGGAATATTTCTGGCATTTTTTAATCTCTGAGAACATAKACTCTGACAGCATGAGGAAATAGCTAAATATCGTTTCAGTATTTGTTCTAAACTGGAGTTTAACTAAAGATGCTACTGCATTACACACATTGGAAAGATAYATCTATAGTAACATAAAATCAATTTCATGCAAACATTACCAAGACAATAATGATGCTAGAGAGAAATAGTAAGGATACAAACTGCAAGAGCAAAATCACATCAACTCKGGAAAAGTTTCCAGCATTAATGTTTTTTCAGGATGCTCTTTTTAATCTTTTCAGATACCATTAGGAGCTTAATCTCTTCATATATTGCTAAGAAACAGCCTAGGAAAGAGAAGTAAGTGAACAAAACAATTAAACTAAATGCTGCAGCTCTGTACAGCTGTAGTTCTTTCCAGCTTTGCATAACCTTGCAATGTAATCTCCTATTAACCCTCAAAAGCAAAATGTTTTTTRAAGGACAGAACATACAAGTACAAGTAGACCTTGTCATACCAGAGGTATCATTACAATGTGAGACATGCTGTCACCCAGGAGCACATGCCAGGTGGTCACACAGTGTAACCATAGCATATTTCGTATGTTCACAGTTGCAAAACCACTTTCAACAAAAAATTTAAGAAATCTTTCCATTTATAATTTAATCTTGRCTATAGCTGAGAATTTGTTTCAAACAATGAGCATATTAGTGCATACAGACTGACTTAATTGTGCAAGTCCTTCCAGCGGGCTGCCTCCTGCAAGGTGTCACACAGCTGCYAGAAACCACCCCCTCACCAAAGCAAATCACTAAGCGATTTTTTTTTTGTTTGTTTGTTTCGTTAGGGGTTTCGGGGCAGGGAGATTTGTTTTAATSTAAAATTATGCAGTGTAATTGTTAACACTGTGGAAGTAATTACCATTCCAGTTTGTTAYAAGGCATTAAGTAGCCTAATGGTTCCCTACCTATTCATACTCAGAGGGACATATGTGGAAAGACTGCATTCTCCAGTTCTGGAACTCTACTAGATCAGGATCACCTTTACCTGTACTTTTCAAGTTAAGGTGGAAGTCCTGTGGTGCAACAGCAAGTTTAGGGGTGAAACCTTCATCTTTTAGACGAAGTACTAGACTGAGTCTAAGATTCAAATTTAACAAACATTTCTACACAAACTCTTACAYATTTTATTAATCTTCTAAATTACAGTTGTATCTGTACAACAGAGCTAGAAATAATTTTTTTTTAAAAGGCATTCTCTTATCCTTTTCTAGACCATGAGCCCTTCAGCCACAGTGCTTCACAGAAGTTCACCAAATACAGATACTAAGAGCAGAATCAGCATCAGCTGGGATGACTGGATAACAATGTAGCCTGTGCATTGATTACGCTGTTAAAGAAAATTATTGCACTTGGGCTTTCCAGATCAATAMCTCGTAGGACTATTCAGAAGAACAGTAAGCCTTAGGCATCAGCAAAGTCTACACAACTGAAGTTCTCAGTTGGGAGCTACTCAGTTTTGTAAAAGCATGTATATTCTTTCTAACCATGAAGCCCAAGACCTTTCATGAGAAAGATGAGGAAACATARCCAGGTTTCTGGCACTAGTAGGCTCATGCTTTAGTGATAAGGCACCTCCCAGTACAGTGTTTGCATTCTTACATGCCTTATATTGGTAAAGACAGATAAGAAACAACATCCTGGAATTGGGTAGCAGAAGGCAGGAGAACACAGAGAAAAAGAGGTTGGAAGTTTGCAATATTCTACTGCTTTTTCTCCATAACAGGAAAGGGGAGTGGGGAAGTAATACAATATGAAGCTTCAGAGACAGCTGCATGAGCAGAACAATACACTAAGTGCTCCATTGCCTRCTATAAATAACTGAGCAATCACCAGTTATTAAACCATAATGAGTAAGGCATGAAAAAGTGTTTCAAATATGCCTCATTTTGCCTACTGTAGTTCCAGTCTCATCCATCAAATGAGAAACACATTATCATCACTATACTCAAACAATAAATGTTGTTTATTCAGTGAAAATWCTGTTTATAATGTCCTGCTTCTAACAACATCATTTTCACTACAGCCTTTCTGCCAACTCTGCAGACCTCATCTCCATTCCTATTCATTAAGTAATGGTCATCTCTTTTCTTCTACTTATTGTCTCATTGTGGCATGAGACACGGTTGCCCTGATTTTTATTTTCCTGGAACTTCGGCATACCAAAGCTTTGCAATTATTTTTCATCCTAATACTTAATTCTCTCCTTGTTAATTTCTATTCTAATTCACAACTGCTTTTATTTCCCGCTTAGCATTCTACTGGATGTAGAAGAATCATCTCTGTCAGAGGAAAACAAAAAGGGGGGTAGGGGGGAAACAATGCAGCAAGTAGCACATTATATTATTTTGGCTGTTCAATTTATGCATTGACCTGGTTTTGATAATGAAAAAGGGAAGAGGGGAAAAAGAGTTTGGGGGAGTTACCCATTCCAGCTCAGAAAAGGCAGGGTCATCTGATCTGAGAGACTCAGAGAATACCTTATGTGGCAACCTAGGGCAATGCAACTTCAGAACRAAATTATAGAAAGTGAAATTCTTCACAGTTCCATACAACTCCACTTCAGACAACTGTATTAAAAAGACTTGAAGGTGCACAATGGAAAAAAATCCAGATAATGGTGATTTTAGAATGCCAATGTAGAAAATGGAAAAGAAACTTAGGAACATATGTGGGGAGGTGTGTTTCTTTGAGGTGGGAGGAGGGGGAGTTGGAGGTTGTTTTGTTTTGTTTTTTAACCACTTTCGCACTGCTCATACACACCAAATTTCATAGGATCTGTGAGCAGTTTGGTAAATTACAAAGTCTCACAAAGAGAGAAACGTTGTTTTTGGTAACACAACTAATAAGAACACRCTTCACCCCTCTAACAGACAACAGACCCTGCAATCTAAGCAGATGGTCATATTAAGTGATGAGCAGAGCAGAGCAGACTCAACAGAGCAGACTCAAGAAGACCTAACACKGTCACACGTGTGTCTTTTTCTGACCCAAACGTTAGAACAATTTAGAAAGTTGTACAAAATGAAAGAAGACTTCCAAATCAGCATGTGGAACAGAGATAAAAATGAGGCTCATTTAAGTGGTTAGCAAAGCTGCTTGCACCTAACAGTCTTGTACATCTAAGAAGTCTCGTATCTTACCTTCAGATGTGCAACAGAAAACTGGTTTATTCKTTCACTTTAAGTATGTTTAGTTTGCTTCTTAGATTGTTTTGAGTGATTCAATCCTTACTGACAAGTTTCACACAATTAAAAGTGCCTATTTCATTAAAAACAATTACAACAAGCTAAAACCAAGTTAGCTCATTAGGAAAAAGAAATTTTGCAGGTTTCAACCTAGAGCAACTCTGGAAAAGTAATGAACTTCTCTATTAATGTGTAGGTTGAAAATGCTGAGGTAATGTGACAGAATTAGCACAAACCCAAAGGGTGTCTCCAGTGTGTCTACATGGCACTGTGTTGCTGTTCTCAAACACCCAAAGCTCCACAACTGAAACCAGCAATAAGAGCTTCAGCAAAGTGAGTCCCATGAGAATCACCCTGAATAGAGCACTAAACAAACCTACTTCTGCCTTGAGTTTCTGTGACACAGAATAGCACTGCAGTTATGCAGGTATGCACAAATCACCCTAACATGAGTTTAGCAGAAACAGCACAATGAGATTCTACTCAAAGACAACTTAGATCACTCCTTTGCTTAAATGGTTAMTCTCCCTTTAGTGCTATGATATGCTGTAAAAGCCAGTAGGACCCTCCTCTTTGACATTGCTGCTAGGCTAAACAAAACTCTTTTAGTCTAGTCTTCCCTGCAAGACAGTTTTCTATTTACAGCAGTGTTTCTATACTCTTGTTCCATTTTTACTTACAGAAATGGCAAAATCATGATGGAACAAGGAGCACAAATCCATTGCATTTCTGACCTTCCCTTGTACAAGAAAACCACAGAAAATTATGTATAGCTTTATAAGAGTTATTACCAAGCAGCCTCTTGGGCCTCGGAAGTAATGGATGAAGAGTTTCACTTCACAAATACTCTCCTGAACACAAGCCAAATGCTTACTACTTGTAATTCATCTCCTCTTCAGMAATTAAGTCATATTGACTTTATTCCATCCTAATTATTTTTATTTGACACATTAACACTGAATCATTCTGCTCCTTAGCTTCCTGGAACATGAAGCCGTTACAGCCAGCTTAAAAGGATGTAGTCTTCAAAGGAATAACTGCTTCACAGGTTAAAAGATTTTCATTTTATGTGAGAAACATTATCAATGCTACCTTATTTCAGAACAAAAGCTGACATTCGAACCACCTCCCAACATAAGAACAGCACTCTTTCCTATACGTTGGGWAACGAGCACAAAACAAGGATGCTCATTAGATCTGTGAGCAAAACAGATTGGTAATGGGTGAAGCCTATCACAAGGAGGCAGGACGCCGCTTGCTACTGCTCACATGGCGAAAGGGGACAGTGGASGAGACCGCAGCTCCGCTCCCCCCGTCTGCTCACGGAGAGGAGACCACGCCTCTGTGCCCGAGCGGGCTCTGCAGCCCTCGCAGCTCAGTTCCTACAACCCCGGTCTGTAACGCCCCGGTGCCGCCCGCTCCCCAGCCAAGGCGGACACGGACCCGCTGCGACCCCTCTGAGCCCGGCCCGGCCTGGGGCCGCTCGCCGCAGTCCCCGGGAAGGGCGGGCCGGGCCGCAGCCACCCCGGCCCCGCCGAGCCTTCCCCGTGCCGGGCCGCAGCACACCCGGGGGAGAGAATCCTCAGGAAGCTTCCCCGCCCCGCCGCCTCGCTCCTCACCCAGGTACTCGGGCCCGGGCAGCGAGAGCCGCTCGGGGCTCAGCATCCTCCTGCCGCCGCTCCTTCCCGGCTTCCGCCCGTTTCCAAGGCGCCCGACGCTCCCGGCGCTGCTGGGCCGCTCGCCCCGGCTGGGAACACGCCCCTCGCCGCCACAGTTCCGCGCCCTGAGCCGCCCCCGCCCGGGACGCCGCGCCCCCGGGGGCTGAGGCGAGGCTGGAGCACGGAGGGACCCGCGGGAAGGGGCTGTGCCTGCAGCCTGCTGACAGGGCCATGAGGAAAAGGGCGCGGTGGGCGATCCTTGGGCAGCCGCTCCAGGGCTCAGGGACACCTCAGAGGGAGAAGAGCGAGTCGGGTAGAAAAGTCAAAGTGGCAAAAGGCACTTTGTAAAGTCATTCTGATTAGATTCAGGTTGGAAAACAGAAGGTGTCTACTCCTAGTGGCTATTGAGGACTACAGCTGTGGAGGAAAGAGGAAAGAAATTCACYTTAATTTGAAGGTGAATTAAAACAGGTTAAAATCATAGAATATGCTGAGTTGGAAGGGACCCATCTGAATCATCGAATCCAGGGTKCAGGRCACCCCAAGAWTCACACCGCGTGCCTGAGAGCATTGTTCAGATGCTTCTTGAAMTCTGCTAGGCTTGGTGCTGTGATCAMTTCCTTGGGTTCATGAAGTTTCTGAAGGATGCTGTGTAGCAGCCTGTCTCAGAGAGCAAGGACTCCAAGTGACCAAAGAGACCCTTTGAAGTTGTGTCTTTCTGTCCATACGATTCCAGAGCTGGAATTTTTGCAACCCTTGTGCTCAGGAGAGGGAAKTATGGGGAGCATCGGGAATTGTCCTTTCTTCACGGGAATTGTCTCCTGCTCATTTCTACATTGTCAAGTAGAAATTATCAGAAAAATCCTGAGTCTCAGGGCTCTTTTTGTTTTTGGCAGGGAGCTTGCTGGGAATGGCCATTGTACCAGGGATGTACGAGAGGCAGTGCTCTTCATATGGCTGGAAGAAAGCCTGCTGGGCTCCTCTTTCTCAGAAGCTGGTGGGGCAAAAATTGCCAAATTACTTTGTAGTTTCTTGCATCACCATTAGAAAAATACCAGTGCAGGATATAATTCTGGGAGTCAAAAAAACAAAAAAAAAAGGACTGCAAGTGTTGTCTATGTTTTTAGTGACAAAGTCCAAAGTCAAAAGAACAGAAATTAACTACTTGTACATGCGTATGATSTGCCTTTATTCTACTAGAGGAAAAGGCTGAGGGTGACTATTGGSAACTTAACTTTAATCTATATTTAAAGGTTGGCCACATTTAAAAAGGGCAAACAGAATGTGATAACTGTTAATATCCCACATAAGATTGCCTGGGCCACTCCTCTGTCTTTTGTTCTGTCTTTAAAAGCGTATGGCTTAGATAGAAATATTTCAAAGATGAGCAGAGAGAAGAATTTAGGAAGCAGACAATGAGACACTGCAGCATGAAGAATGATTGGAAAAATGTAAGATTGCCTTAAAGAGTATAAGCATAATATATGAAATTATGTTATCTAAAATTATTTGTGTTACAATGAAACTCTTTCAAAACTCCAGTTTGTTCAATTTTGCACTTCGTGCATTTTGTTATAGGCTATAAATTTAAATATGGCATATTTTTTAATAATTGATAAAATTAGATCATGGAATACATTGATACAAGGTATTTTTGAGGCCAGRAATTCAGCAGAATTTAGAAAGCAGTGGATATATTTAAGCAGAATGAGAAAACAGAATTATGTTGTTACACACATAAGCAAAGTGGAAAAAAAGAGGACATCTGTAGGAACATGAAATATCCAACCTACTTCATGATGAAGCCAATTGTACAAGTAGTGGGGTTTTGGAAAATATTTTCCTGACATTATGTGTATCCTGTAACTGCTCACTTAAGCATTTTTTGGCACTTTTCAGTGAGGTATCTGGTTTTCAGCCACTGTTGGAGAGGASAGACAGACCTTCGTAGTCCTCTTGTGATCATTAGGTTCAAGACCACAATTCCTGCACTTTCAAAGCTAGCATCAAGATCTCTATTTTCACAGGCAGTCTTTTATCATCATCCAGGCAGTGTCACTGGTGTTTAAAAACCTCTTCCATARTGCTGGTCAGCTGAGCTGGTAGAAGCCTTCCACAGGTTGTGCACTGTTTCCTTTTTGTTGTTTAAGCAATTTCTGTAAGCCACAATTTAGCCTTGATCAGTATGTGGAGCACTGATTTACAAGAGGCCTTTAAAGTCCAGTTTTGAATGCTGCATTCTGACATCTCTCAGGTTTTTCCTTTTGGTTTTTTTTTTCCTTTTTTTTCACTTGTTACTCTTTGGTCTCTATGGGTTAGCCTTTGCTATTTTCTTCAGACTGTCTAAAAGAAACCTTTTGGACACTTATCCCGTTTSTGGTTTTAATAATGGTAAATTTCAGTAGTAGTGGTGCCTGACTGTTAACAACTTAAAGCAAATCATATAAAAAGAAGATGTCATTTCTGGAGCCATTTATAGACTTCCCTGTTACTATTATTTCTCTCTGGGCTTTCCAGAGCCAGGATTAGGTGATATAACAGATCAGCAGCACCCACCTGTCCCTCACTCTCATGACCTGAAAAGGGAGAAGTGCTGCCAGCCTGGCCATAGGTACTAAGTTTGTTTTACTATCTTGATTTTAGAACACCAGACTACTGCAGTGTAATAAATTGAGAAGCTTTTCTGGGTCGCTGGAAACCATCTGCAAGTTTAATAGCTACCCCCAGAGGAGCACATCTAACAAGGGCTCAATGTTCTTTTGGACTCAGCTGGAAGAATGATGGTGAAGAAATTTACTTTTTCCCTGTCAGAGCCCCTTTGTAGATTATCACAGGTACATATCTCACTTTAAGCAAGCCACTTTTACCATCTACCCTGGGAGTCATGGTGGTGCTTACTAACTTAAACTAAAATTGCCACATTTTGTTTATCAGGGACATTTGTGTGTCCAAATAAGTCTTTCARGGAGGATCAGTTGGATTATATTGGTACATTTTGTGCACATTTTCTTTCAGAGTTAATGTGACCTTGATTTGATTTAGCTTAATTCACTTCGAAGTGTGGTTTAAGTAGAATTTCAGAAATCATACGTTTACTAAACCAGGCTAACTTAGTTATATAAGTGTCCATGTGACCATAAGTTTGAAAATAGTCAATGGTGTAATTTAAATTATGTCATGAAATGAAATGTCTTTATTATGTTTAAGATGCATAGTTTTATGCATATGTATTATATTATAATAATATGTATATATTATGCATATGTATCTTATGTTTAAGATCCAACTCCTTTCTGTCTAAGTTTTGTGTTTCTCAGCAATTTAGCTAAAATCAGATTTCTGTTTTTCTCCAGAACCACATATTTTGCCCTCACTACGTTAATTGCAGAACTTACTCTTTGCTGGTTTTATGTTCATCTCCCTAAATTATACTATCAATGTTGAACTGAAATTTTTTTTATTAGACAAACATCTCCTGAGAAACAGTTTGTCTTTCAGAGAGAGTATTATATAGAATAATAAACAGGACTAGATATCAAGCAAAAAATTCCAGAGGAAATGCCTTGTTTTAAACAAACTGAGTCATTTTGTCTGGCTTCTATTACTTTTCTTGGAATGAAATGTTTCATTTGCTTAGAATTCTAACAATTATTACTAAAGTACCTACAATACAGCCTGTTAGATGTATTAGAGGAAACAAACATTTTTTTTCTTCCAGTGACTGTTGGAAATGCTATTGTTTAAGTATCACAACTACAACGTACAAAAAACCTAAGTCTTCAATATTGTTCCATCTGACTATGAAATCAGTGTAAGACAGTTTCACAGAAACACCAAGAAAATGTCTCTAGCCTTTCTTGTTCYTCTTTTGAGCATCCAAAGCTTTATCCTCTTTTAAAAGAGTTTGCTAATAGCCTGTCTCGTGCAAAACACAGCTTTTTTGAGATTGATAGTGCTTTGTATTTTTCAAGGCTTCCCACACATTTTCCTTTTATGAGCTTTTCCTTTTATATAGGAATTAATAAAATTGCAGGTGTGATAAYAGAAAGACACATGAAAACCAAATTATACTGTGAGAAAAAAAACATTGACCTTAACAAGTGTCAATCTTTATTGATAATCTATTATTTTGGGCACCATAGAAGAGATAATTTTTGAGGAGAGAGCTGAAGAAATGGAGAATAAGACCTTCACATGCTATTATTTATGTGAACTATTGGAAATCCTATAAGTGAAATTAGAATTCTATTATGTAAGTAATTTTAAAAATCAATGGCACTGAAGTTGGATGATTCATTTATGAGTCAGTTGCAAACACATTAAAACCTCYCATTAAATTTTTAATTTAATAATTATTTAGATGAATTATCACCAAACTCTCTAAACACATGCACTAAAAATAAAATTATCTTAAATAAAAGGTCAGCCAAAATCGCAATGAAATTCTGGGATGAAATCCATACTTTTATATTGTTGGTTCCTCAGGAGTCATTTACAGAAAAAGATCCARTACTTCTAGCACTTCTCCTAAACTGAGCCTTCTCAAACTGAATGAACTCTTTTATCTGGTTCACCTATAGCCCAGTGGTTTTGCACAAATAAATGAATTATTTTCCCCAAAAAGCACAGTATTAATACTAGTTTACCTCTTCAGGTAAAAAGTAGACAAGCAGATTGGACTTACAGTGTTCTTTAAGATCATTAGAGAAATGARATTTCACAAAGTTTCTTACTCCTAACATCTGCAACAAGATGAATTCTGGAAACAACCGTGAGTTTTCCAGCTAGTGATAGAACATGCTAACAGCAGCAGCTCTCTTAAGCAGCCAGCATTTTTACCATTATCGGGCTTAACTGTGACACCAATAATTGTACCCAAAGTTTTAAGTCAAGAATACACTTAATTAGTAAGATGTCATAAGCATACAGGAAACTATGCTGTAAACATTATGCCATCATAATTTCTTTTTTATTTACTAGTTTAACTGCATTTTAATTGTATTACTAAGATTTTATTTTYCCTCTTGAACTGCTGGAAAGAAAGAAAGTAAATAGAGGTCTGGTCTGATTTTGAGATCTGTCTATATTGAT